GCAATGAGGGACTCGTAGGCCTACCTGAAAGGGAGTATTTGAGTGAAAGAAGAAAGAAGACAAACTTCATTCAGATTGTATGAAATGATTGAATGGATCTACTTGATCCCTCTGGTAACTACTAATGCTGCTAACAGAATGACTCCTTGACCATAAAAACATAAGAAAACACAAAATATTGTTGTTGTCTTACTAACTGCAACTGACCTCCATGCTGTATTTACATAACATGTAACTATTCAAATATTAGGATATGAGATATCAATATGAAAAACCAAATGTTACTCTACTTCAGCTGAGCCCCAGGCACATTATTCCATCTGTCACATCTGCACTGTGCACTGTCCCTGTGCAACATGAGCCAATGCAGGTGTCGATCTAAGGATGCTAGTAAGGGACTAATCAAGTTTAGGCCTACATATACAGTGGGTCGCCAAGGCCATAGACGTGTGAACTATACTGTACCTGGCGAATTAATAGCCTAGCTCCAAGAGTAGCCCGCCTCTGAAAGTATTAAGAGATCCTTCCCTCTTTCATTTAGCATTACCAACAGTGACATGTCCGGCTTCACGTAGACGTAAGCTCCTCCAGCCCGTCATAGCATCATTATTGACATTACACTCGCCATGACAATAACAACATAGCTACTCTTGAATACAAAAGCAGACTATAATTACCTTTATTCATGAATGATAAACAGCATCACTCTGCTCCATATAGACATCCCACTACTGAAGGTGAATTATCTGGTGGCAACGCATTAACTATCTTGTGGCCACGCATTAACTGTCTCGTGGGCATGTGTTATTATCTCCTGGCCACGCGTTATTATCTTGTGGCCACGCATTAACTGTCTCGTGGGCATGTGTTATTATCTCCTGGCCACGCGTTATTATATTGTGGCCACGCATTAACTATATCGTGGGCATGTGTTATTATCTCCTGGCCACGCGTTATTATCTTGTGGCCACGCATTAACTGTCTCGTGGGCATGTGTTATTATCTCCTGGCCACGCGTTATTATTTTGTGGCCACGCATTAACTATATCGTGGGCATGTGTTATTATCTCCTGGCCACGCGTTATTATCTTGTGGCCACGCATTAACTATCTCGTGGCCACACATTAACGGTCTCGTGGGCACGCGTTATTATCTCCTGGCCACGCGTTATTATCTTGTGGCCACGCATTAACTGTCTCATGGGCACGCGTTATTATCTCCTGGCCACGCGTTATTATCTTGTGGCCACGCATTAACTGTCTCGTGGCCACGCATTAACTAACTCGTGGCCATGCATTAGCTGTCGCGTGGGCACACGTCATTATTTTATGGCCACGCGTTATTATCTTGTGGCCACGCATTAACTGTCTCGTGGGCACGCGTTATTATCTTGTGGCCACGCATTAACTAACTCGTGGCCACACATTAGCTGTCACGTGGGCACACGTCATTATCTTATGGCCACGCGTTATTATCTTGTGGCCAAGCATTAACTGTCTCGTGGGCACCCATTATTATCTCGTGCCCACGCATTATTATTTTTTTATTCAATGTCACCACAGGGGCTCCGTACTTCCTTGATCCATGTTTTTATAGCTTTAAACAGCTGCAGAGGAAACAAACAAAGCTCCAGTGTGTCTGATTTAAAGTGAATAGAATCACTCTGTTTTCTTTAGTGTTTAATCAGCTGAAAATAAGAATCACTGTGTTTTCGTTCCCTCACAATGAGACGTTTATATCTACACAGGGAGCAGGTCCTGGCCTACAGAGATCACCATGCTGCACCGCCATGTTTCTACAGTAGCCCAGAGCGGACAAACCAAACACTGACTCTAGATAGAGACATTTTATCATGTTGGAGAGCAAGTTACAGCTGGTTGTAATCTGTAATCATCACTGCTAGAAGCCACTGGACGTTAAAATATGAACAAATGATTATAGATCCATGAAACAAACACATTAAAGCTGGAAGCCTCTGCTCAGCACACATGGCATTTTATTTCTGACTCTGAGTGTGTTTACCTCAGACTGTGGTCTCCTCTGTCAGGTGGAGCTTCTCCAGCAGGAGGCGCTGCTGAGGCAGGAGGAGGTCCAGATGGACAGTTTCCAGCTCGCTGCTCTGCAGAAGAAAATCAGACCTCTGCTGCACCAGAACAGCAGCCATGATCACC